AAATCAGTGGTTAAGTTGTATTTACAACACTGTACCAGAACACTTCAACCCAAATATTCAGATGTGTGCAGCACATTTTATGGAGGACCGTTGCTGGCCAATCACAGCACACCTTGCTTTTTCAGACCGATGAGCTTTGTAAAAATCGACGCGTTTCAAAAAGGCGGGGCATAGAGGAGAAACAATAATGTACAGTATGTGGAAAATAATATGTTTTTTTAACTTTAAACCGCATAAACACATTTCATTACACCAAATACACCAAATAATGTTCTTTTTAGCAGCATCATATGACCCCTTTAAGGTCCCTTCATTTTTTTTGAAAATGTCACACATTTTACATTACAGGATTGTAGTCTTAATTTAACCACATACAGTCTTGCAAAACCTCATTCCTCTACCAGCATCACATTTTTGCTACTCCCTTTTTGACTTTCTCCTCTTTTTCATCAGTCTGGCCTGGTACCTGTCTCTCTTCCCTCCTCCCAACACCGTCTGTCTCTCTCTTTGATATCTGATCAGCGATTCAGATGTGGGCTTGGTTGTTTGTGTTTGTCAGGGTAGAGAGAGTGGAGGCGAGTATACATGTGTCAAGCAGCGGTTGCTTTGTCTCCCCGAACTGACACACATTTCTGGTGTCTCGTGGGGGAAGAGCACTTATCTCTCTCTGCACACTTTTAACAGATGAGCCTCTGCTAAAACACTGCGCTGAGATATGCTGACAGGAATAGTTCACTCGATTTCAGAAACACATTCTCAGTATTTATGAAGGTTGGATACTTACGGAAGAAGTCTTTCTTCACCAGGTTCTTTGCGCACAGAACTGCAGAGAGAAAAGAGGAAAAAACATTGTTATTTGGACATTTTGGATCAAAATAGATATTTGCCAAACATGTAAATCACCACAGTGATTTATGTTATAAAACAGAGTTTGGAATCAGAATGCAATTTTCATTGTTTTCCAGTAAAAATCTCAACATCCTTAAAACAAGATCTATTTAAATTTAACGGCTAATTATTATTATTTTTTAATATAGAATATATCTCTTGAATTAAGCTATTATTTTTTATATATTTTTATAATTATCTCATATCCCCTTGATAATTTTTTAAATTTAGTTCATAAAAAATATGCGTATTTATTAATGATTTATCCTTAAAACGAGACAACAATTTACCAATGTGATGGGTACAATTAACCTAATTCAAGTCATTCTCTGAAAACAAATACTAGCATCTTAACATCTTATGCAATTTTGCTTCTCAAATAAATGTATTTTATTCATGTACGTTAAAGAAAATGACTAATAAAATGATTTTCTGCAGTGCACAAAATGAGTCCGTGGGGGGATTTAGGTCTCATACTGGTAGATATGTTTTTAATTTCCGAGTTCTGTATTTTTAGGATCTCAGCGTGTTCAAACCGCAGAGTAAATGTTTAAATCCATAGCGCGGCTCTTACGGCACTCAGCACTCCCAGATCAAGCTCACAACGTATTAGAGATGCAAAGTAAAAAAAAAAAAAACTTGGATCCACATCCCACCGCTGGCCTACATTCAGCTTAATAAGTTCTTCTGACTTGATTGATTGATTGATTGATCAATAAAGAAAAAGAAAAAAAGAAAACGAGGGCAGACAGACATTTGATTGAGAGGACAGACTGCAGCAGAAAATGCGAAGACAGGAATGAAGGGCGACTAGAGAGCAGGAGCACAACCTTTGAGGTATTCACACAAAAACTACAGCAGTTCGCCCCTCCAGATGGAAGAAAGCTGAGATGGTAAGAATAACTGGAATGTGTGGAGGAGGTTAAAGGGCCGAGAGAATGTTGATGTGCAGGTGAGCTGCAGACTTTACTTAGCAAATCCAAACATACTCGGAAACACCCATACTGAGACTGCTATTGATTCTGTCTGCGGCACGGCCACGGCTGTTCCTCAACTCACACACACCAGCACACACGTACATATATACAGTCAGTCAATACTCATTTTAAAAAAGCTTTTAGAAATAAAGACTAATAAAATGAATTTATCGAGCCAGTGTGTCAGGAAAAGCGAAGAGACTTGTGTGACGGATTTGAACAGTTGCAGCAGGTGATGATAGCAACAGTCTGAGTCCAAGAGAAGGGAGGGAGATGGCGAGAGAAGGAGGAGAGGGAGGGATCGGATAAAAAGGAAACATGCTTGCTTCGCAGTCGAGGAAGAATTTCTCTCTGCAAACATCCCTGGGAATGTTTAACGTTCCAGTGAAACCCACCTCATCATTCCACCATCTGGAATGTATCTCCCTCTCTCTCTGTATGGAAGTCTCACACACACACACACTCAGCCTTCAACACCTCGTCTGCACTCAACTCTATCAATTATTAACATTAAGTGTCAGTGTCTGTATCAGAGACGAATTCGAAGAACTAGTAACAGAGCATTTAGGAACGAGTACATAAAATGAAAAATAAGCATAAAAACTATGAGTGAAAACAACTGAATTATGAGCACAGTAGCAGTTGTAGAAACTGCCCTTCTAATAGACTTGAGTAGACACTATACGTAAAGGAACTGCAGAAAAGTCTCTTTACCCTCAAGATATAGATAAGTTTCTTCAATGGAACCGATTTGGAGAAATGTAGAAATTACATCACTTGCTCACCAATGGATCCTCTGCAGTGAATGGGTGCCGTCAGAATGAGTCCAAACAGCTGATAAAAACATCACAATAATCCACAAGTAATCCACACCACTCCAGTCCATCAGTTAATGTCTTGTGAAGTAAAAGCTGCATATTTGTTAGAAACATATTTATCATTAAGGCATTTTTAACTTCAAACTGTTGATTACTCTCTCCAGTGAAACACTCATTGTGACTGAATCAGGAGAGAAATATGCACAGATTAAGCCCCGTTTACAAGTCCAAACTGTTCTAAATATGTTGGTGGATTCTGATGTGAGGACAACAGGAGATGGACTTTTTCGCTGGAAGAAGCGTTATTATGGATCAAGGACTTGCGATGGATTTTTTTTCTTACACAGCTTTTCACTTCACAAGATGTTAACTGATGGGCTGGAGTCGTGTGGATTATTGTGATGTTTTCACATGGGGCAATTGATGTAGTCTTCAATTTCCCCAAAGTAAAGGTTCAGCAACTTTTCATTTTTGAACTGAGAGGAAGTACAGTACTTTCTTAATTTACGTGATGCATGTTTTCTGAAAGTTTTTAGTCCACTTGAAATGTTGGAAAGACATCTTTCAAAGTTTTGTTGACTGAGCAATCAATACTCATTTACACAACTAAAGTATATTTATCTGCCATAACCTCATTTTCATTTGCATTAAGTTGAAGTCATCATGCAGTGATTTTACTTCATAATCTGATTTCCAAGATAAACAGGATGTTCAACAAAACAAAGTAACTACAATGCTATTTGAATGGATTGTGAAAAGTGGATGCAACATAGCCAGTTAAAGCGGAGAACTTATATATTAAATAAATAAATAAATAAATAAATAAGAGCTTGCTGATGTAATCTGTAAGGAAAGTCATTTAAGAGACGGAGCAAGTTACAAGAAATTTTAATTAATCATTTAGATTTTTTTTTTTTTTAAGTTTACAGTAAGACCAAGACTGTGTATTTAATCAAATATGTAAATAATTCTAATTTAATTTTGACTATAAATATGGCACCTCCTTTTACTAAAGTCATTAACTAATTGAAGAGGTTCTTAAATCAGGAACGATGCCCAATTCCCTGAGTGAAATGCACTCAAGCAGTTAATGAAACACACCAATCCCACAGCTGGGAAAGTCACAGTACTAGTTCATAAAGCACCGTTCCTCGTGGTCTGCAGTGACAGATCAATATTTCTGTGAGATATAGTGAACTGGCAGTGTATAATGCAGCCAATCTTCATTCCTACGAAAGAGTTTCATCAGTCTGGCTGTGAATCACTCGCAAAGTGAAATTCCGATGCATCTGTCCTCCGAGCAACAGCATCTGTTGCGCCACAGATGTTCATTTATGAACGGAGTGATTCATGGCCACTAACACACACTTATCAATTCTTCAGAAGTAAAACATCAATGCGTGAGCTCATATAAATAGACACGACAGCGCTGTACTGGCAGCGAACTGCAGATAAAATCCTGGCTTGGATTCTGTCAATGTGTATCTGCTTCCTGTCTTAAAAGTAAACTAAAAAAAGGTTTGACTGGTTTCTGTGACGCTCGTGAAATTTGTGACACTAGTTTAGTGCATCAGATAACAGCTACTCGAAACAAAAGACACAGAACGCTTGACAGCAATGCTTTCCCTACTGAGAGTTGTACACTGTAATGCTAAAAAGTATTTAGTAAAAACTAAATTTAGCATTTATTAAACACTAGGGGTTAGTTTGGCCTTGTAATTAGGGTTGCAAAGGGGTGGAAAATGTCCGGTAAATTTCTGGAAACTTTCAAAAAAATCCCTGGAAGATTCCAAAAAAATCCTGGAAAGTTTCCAAAATTTCTGGAATGTTTCCAAAATTAACTGGAAAATTTCCACCTTTTTGCAACCCTACTTGTAATACTGCCAAATAATCATTTTAAGCTACTATTTCTAGGGATGCACCGAAATGAAAATTCTTGGCCGAAGCCGAAGCCAAACAAAATGAAACACTGGGCCGAATACCGAATACCGAACACGTTTTTTCAAATTTTTCCCCCATGTAGGCCTATTTTGCCTTTTTTTTTTTCACCATTGCATTAATTAAATTGCCAAAATGTGCTTTTTATTGTTTTGTCCTGCTTTACAAAACAACAATTAAAAAATATTTACTTAAATTGTTGTTTTGTAAAGCAGGACAAAACAATAAAATGTGCTTTTTATTGTTTTGTCCTGCTTTACAAAGCAACAATTTAAAAATATTTACTTAACACTGAACATTTTTTTTTTCATTCTAGCAGACATTATACCAACAAAGCACAATTTGAGTTGTTGCTTTTTCTCGGCTTTTACTTTGGCAGAAACCCGCAGGAAGATCTCAGTGCTTTTTTTTGTTGAAAACAGTATGCAGATTTATAAATGATTCTCATTACGAATTTGGTAAGATGTTTGTCGCACGTATCACATTGTCACATGCCTTTAAAAAAATTCACAAATATGTTACTGAGCAACTGACGAGTAACAGTTTCAGCGCAGATTTTCCTCGCGCTTTGGACTTTGAACCCTGGCTCGCGAGCTCGTGCAGCGCTGTCAGAATACATGCAATTCGTGCGTGCATTAGAAAATATAACATTCTGCAGTTATTCGGCCTTTTCACTTATTCGGCCGAACACCGAAAGATATTTTTTTGCTATTTTCGGCCAAATAATTTCGGTTGCCGAATATTCGGTGCATCCCTAACTATTTCAAACATTCTAAATGTACAAATAAAATGTGTTGTTTCTAAATTGTTACATTTCTCAATTAACATTTTCAAAAGATGCTGCACACTGCTGAAATTCAGGAGTAACACTTTACTTAAAGCCTTTATGTATAATGCATTATAAAGGGTTAATAAAGGGTATAACACATAATTATTCATAATGTGCATTGTACATTATATCTTGCCGTAAATAATTATACCAACAATCAATTGATAAGTGTTATTTAACTGTGGTTACAATTATTCATGAGATCGTACAATACATTATAAGGTGCATTACAAGGCATAATTAATGCATTAAAACCACTTTTATAATGCATTATACATAAAGGGTTTTTGTAAAGTGTTACCATAACTTTATTCAGGTTTGCTACAAAATCTGATGAATTCATTTCTTCAGACTAATGAATTTACATGATTTC